CCGTATCATTGCTGTATATTATTTGTTTACCTTGTGAAATTTTTAAATGAAGGAAATAGTTGTTCAGAATGGGTTTGGATGCAAAGAAGTTAGCGTCTGTGATCAACACCAGCTCAGGACGTTGTTGGAGTAGTGACACGTATAACCCAGTGCCGAATGTCATCGATCGGGTGCCATCATCTAACAACTATCAGGGTGGATTCAGTTGTGCACTGATTGCAAAGGTTATCTTTCGATCCGTTTCATATTGCTGTTTTTTGCTGAATCAGTAATCTTGCGTTGGATCACTGATCTCGTGCGGTCTTTCCATTACCACTGACGAGCGCATTCCGCTGTCGGAGTCGACTATTTCATCTGCATTTATTCACTTCTGGTAGTCGTAGTAGTAGAATTTCTGTGTCGTCTACCGATTCATTCAAATCGTTCAGTTCACAGCCGACGACATGTTAATTGGTAGGACTTGTCGATTGATTATTGAGATTTTTATATGGTATCGGAACAGCGTTGTATTCTTTGACGACCGACATTCATCATTAATCATTATTGTTGATAGTTTACGGTTTTGATTACGTGCTTACATGCAGTTGATTGGTATTTGAGTGGGTGTTGTGTGTACTTATTGAAAGTATTCGTAAACATATCATTGAAAGCGTATCTCATTTGAAAGCATTCCAAAACAGTAATGCTTTCACTCACTTCAGGATCTCGGTATAGCTGAAAATGCATCTTCTGCGTATAATGCTTCAATTCCACTCGGTCAAATGGCTCATAAAATCTACGATTCGCTCAGTCAGTCGTCCGAATTTTCAAAACTTGATTTCGGTGTTATTTATCAGCACATCAAAAACTTATCTTATCAGAAATGATTGCAAATTTCGTTTCACTTCGTAAAAAAACCTTTTTTCTCAAACATTCCATATGTTTGTTGTTTTCTTACATGATAATTTAGAAACCAGTTTCGTTTTGCAATGGCTGAATTTGTAGGTGACGCCTAGAAATTTGTTTATAATAAAGAAGTTGCTTTGTTGCACTTGTTTTNTTTGCAATGGCTGAATTTGTAGGTGACGCCTAGAATTTGTTTATAATAAAGAAGTTGCTTTGTTGCACTTGTTTTGATTTTATTCACATTCAAGCTTTGTGTTTTCAGATTGTCTCTATCATTGCTATTGTTATTATTAGGATTATTACTATCATCGCTTTTATTATCATTATTGTTAGTGTAATATTTTTATCAGTTCATATCATTGGTTAGAACGATTTCGTTGCTGTTAGGTCATCAATTCACTCAGTGTGCGAAAAGTTTATTCGTGTATGAAATGAAAATTATTGATGACTTTTATTGTTCGATGATTTTCAATAATAATACGACATTTTCAAATGCTGTCTTCGTTTGTTCGGTGCTGGTGCTGTGTGGTTGTTATTCTGTTAGGATTGTTGTTTGTGATTTTTGTTCCAATTTTGCATGACTTTATACCTACCTCATCACCGTTTGTAATCACTTCCTTATTGTGATATATTTTAAAACTTATTATTCAATTTTTATACATTGTCACTTTGTCCCATTTTGCTCATTCTTCTTTTTACTGTCATCATTTTGCTTACAATTATTGCTAGATTTCGTTGTATAATCGCTTCGAATCTCTTCATCACTGTTACGACATTTATCATTCTGTATTCAATAAGATTATGTGGATTGTTTTGAAAGAATAAACATTTTTTGCGATATTGCAAAGTTTATTCATTTAAATATTTCCTAACTCTTTCATTTGGATTATTAATAAATTTGTATGCGCACCAATGACTTTATAAGATCACTCCGATCACGCCGGAAATCACAACAGACTTATGCACATTGTGTTCATAAAGGTACATCTCTGTTTCATCGATAATCCATCTCGATGTGTTTGTTTCCTTCAAGTAATTGTGAGAAATTGCCGTTATTGTCAGGCGATCTGTACAGAAACGAGCACGTGCTTTACGTTGCATTCGTATTCTGTGCTTCAATGAACTGCTTTCATCAATAAAGTGTTTCTTCCAAAGAACATTGATCACTATCTGTGGTTATCACATAACTTTTCAATACCGTATTATCTTCGGTTACTGGTAAATTTACATTTTGTTCCATTCTCACAATCAGTGTTTACGCCAGAAAAACGATTGGTCACGTCCCTAGGCGTAGTCCTCCTCTGAGATTCGAACAGAAGGAAAGGAAGAGAGAGGAAGGAAGAGAAGGGAAAAGGATGGTTGAGAAGGATAAGAGAGAAGAAAATAAACGTAAAGAAACCTCCTCGAGATTTAGCTATTTTCTGGGACAAGGTCATGTTGTGCTCATCTCCCTTCAGAAAAAATCCTGGCTATGTCACTGGTCATATTGGGAAGAATTCTTTAATTGAATAATTGGGAAATATCAAAGTGTGCTTAATACGAGAAGACATCAGTTACATGCAATGACGAGCGCGCTACCGAAAAAAGCAGCGTTGCCAATCGTTAATTCGCTGAGAAAAATACTTTTGTTCCGTCAAAATAATCCGCTAGCAGCGCCGCTGACAAAAATATGGAAAGTTCCCACTATAAGTGCCACTAATCGAAAACATAGCGGTTGTTCTCGCTGAAATACCACTCATCAAAAGTAATCCGCCAATCGCCACCTTTATATCTTCCCTCAAAATTTGCAATCGCAACGTTGGCTGATATGTCCAGGAAAAAAGCTCATTACGCCATCAAACAGTTGAGAATGTTAATTTAATTATTCACCAACAAGCGTCCCAACAACAAGCACCTGTCAATAAAATAAAGTATGACGATAACCAACGATAAGTTTAGCAACAAAACTCGAACATGAAAAACAATCAACTGACAGCGACTCACACTACGCTTTCTCATTCCCCTTTAAAACTATTAACACACTGTGCGTTTCGTCTGAGAGTTTGGATTGTTTAGCCTAGTGGTGCTCATAGGGGTGAAATTACCCGTTTTGGGTAATTTGGAGGTGTCAAGGGGTAACTGAGAGGGTTGGGAAATTAGAAT